CGGGAAGCGGAGACCGAGGAGTCTCGCTCCACACTGTCATATAGGTTATTGAATAATGCACTAGATTGCTGTCACTTTTATTAGTTCGAAATAATGAATTTGGTAATCGAATAGCATTTAATTTCTCAACGAGTAATACAAATATATGAAATAAAGCCAATTAAATGATAGCCTCAAATCAAAAAGTCACGCTTTGAAAACCTTACAAACTTAGCATGGCTTCGCTATTGGCTTACAACACAGTGATCAGTGACCTTCTGAAATATTTTCCTTCGTAACTTGTTTATATGCATCGGGAAAAGTGTCAATTATTCGAGGACACTTCTTAAGGTTTGTCGATTAGGTGTGTGTTTATTGCTAGGTGGGGTTAATGGGTTTCTAGCAGCAATCTTTTTCACTGCATCTATATTGTACGTATTTTCCAACACCTGTCGTCAGGGATGTCGGAGAATCCGAAGTGGTCCTCTTTACTTAGTAATCACAACCAGATTAAGCGGAGACGGTAAGTTTTGTTTCCCGAATTTATTGTTTTGTTTTACATTTATAACTAGTCGAGATCAACCTAAGTGTACCAATTTTGGATTTGTTGGTTGTGTAAATTGTGTCCCCTCATTAATAGTTAGTACGCTTCTTTGTAAAACTTAACGTTATAATAAATTAAATGCTAATTGGCCACCTGTTCACCACATCAAATAAGTATATTTATTTTCTCAGTATAGACAGTTTACAACTGGATGCTTGGAATCCACCTGATCGTGCATGCTCAAAGCATTCCAGGAAAGGTTGTAAAAGTGTGCGCGTACGCCGCACAGATTTTGACCTGGGACTGTCTAAATTTAGTCCACTTATCCACGATGACGAATTCCCAAACACCAACGCCAACAGTGACATTAGTCTTGCAATCAGTGACAATGTAAGCCCCTTAATCCCAATAATTTTCAGCCGGATAATGGAGCTTCGACTGACAATGAACATGATATCGTGGTGATTGAGTCGGATAGTTCCGACAATAATAAAGAAAATGAAGAAATAGAGGGGGAAAATATATCGCGACATGAAGACTCACTTGGTTTTGTCTTCAGTTCAGACAGCGATAATGGGAATGAAGAATCACACGAAGACCAGGTGTTACTGAAGCCGTTTGCCAAACGAGAAGTTAATACAAAGCTTGATTGCTTTATATCTGCAGTTGGAGATATTCCTCATATGATGGAACCTTTGGAATTGCCTTCCAAGAAAGAACTAAGGTATGTAGTCTATCGACCGGTTTCCTTTACTTTTGCAAGAACTCCTTTGTCTTCGCGTTTGGCTACTCTTGTGAGACGCGTTCGGTCGGACAAAGTAGTTCGGCTTCATACGCATGCTAACGATTCTAGTGAGTACTTTTTGTCGTTGGCCTAGTTTTGTCGGATAACTTAATTTGCGAGGGAAGAGATGCGAAAGCTTTTTGCGCTTACTGCAGACCATCCTCTGGTTTCTTCATTGTCGATATTTGTTTGCTTCTTTGTAGACGCTGACAACACCCGGGCCCAAGTCTTCACAACGAACTCAGTTTTCCTTCCGTCCGCTTCTCGCTCCATCCGTGGACACGTTGTTGCTACTGTTGTAGATGGAGATATTCTCTTAATACCAACTACTTTAATCGGTGAATCTCAGTGGGAGCACTTTAAACAAGCCGATTCATTGAAATGCTCGCTGCTTATCACCTTAACACCGCCTTGGTATTACATTTACTCTGTCTGACTAGATTTTCACATAGGCGAGAATTGACGTTCCCAGGTTCGGAACAGCAACAGAAACGAATAATCTTTTCCCCAAATGCAGTGAGTGTTCAAGAAATACCACGGGAAATAAGCATACCTACCCTACAAAGGATTCCACTACTGTGCGATTGCATTCAAAAAGGCTCGTTTTAGTTATTTGATAATTAAACTGGATCGTCTACTAAGGCTAGGTACTTGCTCTCATAGTGTTTCTTTTTGTTATTAGATCCAACCGGAAATGCTTGGCACTCTTGCAGTCATCGTTTTGGATGTGGGGTGGGTTAAATTGGCGAGTACCTATTTGCTGATTTTCGATTTTTGCTGTTGCCTTGCAGTCTACAAAGCGATCCACAGTTGAACAGCTTTGCGCATCTGGAGGCGGCCAAATGCATTTTTTTGTCCTGCAAAAAAGTCTCCTTTGGTTCCAAAAGAGGCTTAAGTATGGCAGATTATTACTGCAGCTCGATCCTTATCATGTTTTCAAATCCAGGTCTCACCTGATATTGCCTCCATAGGATTGCGTTTTTGGTGAAACTATCCAATGGGAGTTTGTCCATGCTTCTCCTCCCTTCATCAGTTTGTCGTCAATGGCCACGGGATGGTGGTGATGAATCCAGTGCTTCAAGTAGAATGACGGTAGTCTCCACGATGGATCCGGGTTGTGTTTACAGTGTTAAAACACTGCCTGTGGTTACTACCGCTTCTGACGCGGGGTAGGTCTCGGGTCGGCTACCCACTTTCTTCCCATAATTGGTCGCCAATGTTCGTTGATATCTTTGCACGGAAATTAAACGGTAGGCTACTGAGTGGGAGGTGCCCAAATTTCCCCTACTAATACATTAGGAAGTGGTGATCATTCCGGTATCCCACTTACCTTATCACATTTCAGGCTTTGTTATTCCGAATATGAAATTTTTAAATATGAATTTCATCATGGAACCACTAATGCATAGTAGACTGCTTAACATTAATGAGGTGTCTGATTTGTAAGAATGCGATTAATGAACCGGACGATGCGGTAATTATTAAAGTTCTATTCTGCTAGACACCTAGCCATGAAGTTGACCCCACTCATATAGGCCAATTAAGCAGGTATTAGTGTGATGGGCGGTGATGAGATGATACCTTCATCTCTGTGGTTAACTTTACAGTGGTATGGTTTGTCATTGTTTCAGTGATATCATTACGTTGGCATGACCTCAGACGTCAACTTTGGGTAGAATATTAGTTTCTTCAGGATGGTTTTTGTGCACGTGTTAGTGACTGGTGCAGTTGTTTTTTGGGTTGTACCTTTCATCATGAAGCCGACTCAGAGGCGTAGACATTGTGAACCAGTAACGAGCTAAATTGTTAGGTGGCTTATAAATGAAACTGTGACAGGTTGTGAACTTCCATTCTAATGGGCAATTTCATTCTGGAACATGGGTTAGTCTTGTGAACTGACACCAGGACGGTGGGTAAAGGCCTGATGGCGACGGATGGATCAGTGCCTACTTACATGTGAGTTATCAGTCGTGACATTTACCGTAGATGCTACTCTCCCATTAAAAGCAGGGTTCAGAGGATGTTCAATTGCCTAAGTGGGTTGCTTGAATTGAAAGAAGCGAGTGAACGTGGGAAGTGAAGCGTTTGGAATCGAATGTCCCGCAGTCCATGATCTGAACAGCCTACATTGGTCGCCACTCCTAGCTGGCAATCGCCTTTGATACAAAATAATACTTGTTTGAGGATGACGTTCTCCAAATCTGTTAACCATAAGTGAGGCAGTAATTAACTTGATAAATCCCCTCCCTTTTTAGACTTACTAAAAAAGCTCAAAAGGTGTGGAGTCGTCTTCCTGATTTCCTGAAGTGCGATGAGAGGTTGGCTCAATTCGTTTCGTCAAATGATGCCTCCAATGAATTGGATCTTTTTGTACTCAAAAAGGCCGCGAAATTCCACCTCGTCTTGGAGATGACAGCATTCTCCGAGACCACCTTTTTTCTCCCTTATTCCGTACGTTCTTATTTCTAGATGGACTGTATTTTTTGTACCTGGACTGCTAGATTGTATGAAAGTAAAAGCTAAGATTAGACTTATTTACATAGAATAAGTGTCAGTTATAAGAAAGTAGGCTGTTTTTTCCGCTTTCAAGTCATACTGGGACATTTATGTTTAAGTGTTTTCCTCAAACCTTTGTTATGACGACAAGGCACTTTATATCATGCCAAGATGGCCGTGCTCTGCTGAGAGGAGGTCGCACATCGGCTCACTGACCTGACGGTTTCGATTGTAAGGCAAAAATAAAAAAAACCTTTATGAACCACCCTATTTTTCACTCTTTAGCCCCTTCTTTCTTCGTCCTCACGGTGCATTTTAACTGGAGTTCTTTTGTATGAGGTAGGTGG